AGCATCTATGCCTTTATCATAGTGGTGGGTTAGCCTAGCCCAACAGCCAGACTCCCACCCAGCTGCTCACTCACTTCCCCCACCTCAGCAGGATGTCTACAAAAAATAAATAAGAATAAGGAACAAGAAAGCTCATAGGTTGAGGTAAGACAGGGAGATTGCGTGCCAGTTACAGTCACGGGCAAAATAGGGAAAGTTAGCTTAGTTTAATGCCAGTTAAAATAGATACCTAATTACTAGTTCAAGTAGTGGGAAACAAAAAGGCAAACATTCAAAGAACACCTTCCCCTGCCTTGTTCCAGGCTCCAATCACTCTTGACTCTCCCCAGCCCAAGCACCACAGGGGCATGGGGTGTGAGGGTTTGTGGTCAGTCCATAGTAGCTCCTCTCTGCCACTCCTTCCTCCTCACACTTTCTGTCTACTCCAACATAGGTCCTCTTGACAGGCTGCAGTTCCGTCAGGAATATCCACCTGCTCCAGTGTGGGTCCTCCACAGACTGCAGTGTGGGTATCTGCTCCACCATGGAGTACCTCCTCTTCTTCTTCCTAGCTCTCCTCCTCCTTCTCCTCTTCCTCTCACCTTGGTGTTCCCTGCGCTGTTTGTCACTCCTTTTGTTCCTTCCTCCTCTTCCCCTCCAGCCTCTTCTGCCCTTTCTTAAATATGTTTTCACATGATGGACCCAGCTATCCCCTGAGGTGGGTCTGCCAGCTGGAACCAGCTGTGTTGGGCATGGGGCAGCCCCTGGTCTCCCCTGACAGAGGCCCCTGCAGCCCTGGCTGCCAGCACCTGGGCACTGACACCCAAAACAACTCCATACTTTATATTTTCTTTGAGTAGATATACTTGTATTATTTGGTCAACATCCATGCCATCTTTTGTATTAGGTAGGCAGTGTACGCCTGAGAATGTGGCTGGTCTTAAAGGACAAGGAAAGTTACTGCAGGCAGTTGACAGATATTTTAGCTGGAAGTCAAGATGGTGGGGGACTCCTAAAGGATCAGAGTGGTATTTTGAAAACCAATGGCTTGGAAGGGATTTATGGATCAGAAGCTGGAGAAAGGTCAAGAGGGGTCAGTGAAGCATAGGGTCAAGAGGGGGTGGGACAAGGAGGAGGCAAAAGTCTGTAGGAAATTAAGGTTTTTCTGCTCCTGCTGCATTCATCATATATGGTGGAAAATGAAAAAGGTGCAGCATTTCCATAACAAATTTTGCTCCTAACTGTTTCCATTATGAGGCTTTTACAAAATTAAAGCTATATGTTTGCCACTAGGAAAGTGTATTTGTTCATTGCATCCCAAAATAGCTTGGTTTTCAGCTGAGTTACAGATAAATATTTTAGATTTGTGCATAGACAGCATTGAAAATACAGTCTGAGAAGGGGAAACATTGTAAAACCATGATTATCTGAAAGTCATCACAATGGAATAATGTCTATATCTTGAAATCAGGCAACAACCATCGCAGGTTTTGTGATATTGGAAGCATAGCAGAAATCTCATCTCAGACAACAGGCGCTGTTCTGTGTCTGTGTTTGTAAACATAAAATATCCAAGAGCATCTGATAGACGTCAGTAGAGGTTTGATCATGAGTCGTCAGAGCTTGTTCCTCAGCTTTGCTACAGCATGAATCTTCTCATTTGTCAAGTAGAGTTGATCATTTTTCTATGAACTTTTGAAAATATTTTAACTGCAATTCCAAAGTATGGTATGCCTAGCTACTACAGAAAATTTATGAGGAAAAGCAGACATGGAACAAACTGATCCTTGAAGCACAGGAAGACTCTCTTCCAGTTGTTTCTAGATCTTGGTGATTGAGGTAACACTGGGTAATCATCACTAATAAAAATGGATACATTTCTGTGAGATGAGTGGAATTATTATGATTTATTTAATTAGTGATCTGCCTTGTGAATATTTATAACCTTATCCACTTTGCTAGGCAAGTTTAGTATCGTCTGATGTTAGTTATGCTATCAAAGAAAGCACACAGCCAAGACTGAGTCCGATGTTTCTTGCAAGTGGCTGACTAAGAGTATGAAGTAATTTTCCAGACATGAGGCCTAATGGTTTTTGACTAGGCTTATGCACAGAATCAATCATTCATTGTGGATAAAAAAGTAATTTAAAAGCTCTCTCTTTTGTTTGTTTTGATATTGAAAAAATATTTATTCCTCCTTTTTTAATAAATATTTTTTGCAAACAAATAACAAGTTCTGAGCTGTGTAATTTGGTATTTGGTATTTAAAGTGCATAATAATAAACCTATGTCATGTGAATTTGGTTTCTGCTCTTTTTTACTAACTGACTGAGAATTTTAAAATAGAACAGTAATGAATCACAAATAGCCAATGGTCTTTTTACATCAAAGTGCGCTTTTACAAACACAAATCTCTGGGCTGTTCTAAGATAATTTTGAACTGAAGTCTGTTCATATGTGTAATAGTAGGTAATAAGGGATAGAAAAAGAGCATAATCAACAGTCCAAAATGAATACTAGAGAATAGCCTGTATGGACTAACTCTGAATGTCCAAGAAGAGGAAATACAGCACTTTTCCCCCAGTTTTCCTTCTTTCTAAATTTACACTTTCTGGTATAGTTTTCTGCTGCACATCTCATTTTTTGTATGTGAAGAGAAATTCAGTAAATTATATTAATCTTTCAAGTCCTGTGGGGGTAGGGAAA